GCCAGCAGTGGGTACAGGGTTAGTGGCTAATGCCTCCTGCACAGCAGCCGTTGACCTTGTAGTTCGGGATGAATATGTACAAGATAGATGATAGTGATGAGGTGGGTGATCGAATAAGCTATGGGTTGAAGACGGTGATGGTATATTAGAGAAGAGTGAATGTTCTGACTGTGTGGTACTAAGTGAGGGTGAAGGTAATCGCTCGGTTGATCGGCGTTGCATAGCATACGCGTTATTGGTGCTAGTGCTTGATAATCTTGCTGTTCTTCTTGTCATGTATGGAAGGCAAGTTTGAGGGATGGAAGAAGATAATGTTTTTGTATCATCGGCTTGAAGAATCGGCTGTGACCTCAACGTCATGAGTCCGCCAGTTCAACTCATTACGACCGGCTGTAGCTTCTACGCGAGAGCCCGCCTGCTCAGCTCACCTCGACCGGCTTGTAGTAGATTGTTTGGTGAGAGTCCGCCTGCTCAACGTCCCACCACCGATGGTTCGCATGCTGTGGCACCCAGCATCGGCTCCAGATGCGCCCCGGCGCTCCCCGGGAAGCGACCCGTAAATTATACTTCTTCTTCTCAGTTTCCATAAGGTGCTCCATTGAATGGGTTTGGGATCGTTAGTTGGATAGGTGCTAGTATCAGGTCTCCCGGCCACTTCCAGAAGCAGAGACCCAACACAATGATGAGTTGTTAAGATCATAACCAGTACCCGATAGCCGTAAGCACCCCCACCACGGCAAGGTGATCCCCGGGGGGGTTATTATTATTATTATATTATTATTATATTATTGTTTCTAGCATTTCAGTACATAGGTTGCTCTTCACTTAAGTACCTTGTGATACACGACATTTTTTGTTTTCTTATCAGGCGCAAAAACAAACAACGCAGACTTCCGACCCGTGAACATGCCACATATAACTGACCATGGGAAAAACATGGATGTTCTAGATTCAAACCACAAACTTTTAAGGATTGGCCTTGTGATTTGTTGATCATGGAAAATGCAAGACGTATCGGAAATTGCAGTCTTTTAAATTCAAACGGCAAATCGGTTGAGATCATCGGGGTCCTCGGAATGAGAACTTCCTCACCTTTGAATTTTCCTTTCAATATCGTCGCTAAATTACATTGTTCATCAATTTTTTAAAAACCAAACGGCGTACCGTTTGCACAGTTTTGGTGGTTTATGTTTCGAAGCATGATTACTACGGAGCCAACCTTTAGGCGTAAATTTTGCGGTGGGTAAGCCAGGCACATCCAAGGAGTTTAAAAATTCAATTGGATAGTTGGTGGCTTCATCTTCATTTGTGACGCAGTCAATAGATTTGAATGAATGCATTGTTTCAATGATCTTATTTTTGAATTATATAGTTCAGGTCGTCTACATCTTTATTCTTAGCCGCTAAAATTGCTCGCTCACTCAACCATTCATTATTTTTGTAGTTAGAATTAATGTCTTTAAATACATTGTTGATAATTTCTTCTTTTGATGAGACAAAATTACAGAAATTATTTGGAAATGATATCAATCCGCTCGATTCATCGACAGGTACTTGACCATTACCGATAGTCAGCAATTGCTCAGAGAAATATTAACAGTCCGTAGTGTCTCAACTGACGTTGGCCCATGCACATTTACCAGCAACAACTGTATACATACGACCAAGAGCATCAGTAGAACGCACATCCGGATACCCAGGAACCGCATCGCCTTGCTTCCGTCTTTAAAAATTCGAAGCATTCCAAGTATAAAAAACGTGGCATCTCCGAGTAAAGCAAAGTTCGTTAAAAACAAAAAAAAAACACTGTCGAACGGAGTAAATAGTATCCTATGTCCGTCTCCTGGCTCTAAGCTACCTCCTCACCAATTTTCAGCCAGATCGGTAAAGCCGTTCTTGAGTTATAAATAGTGTAACTAACACGACTTTCTTTTATATATATAGATTTTCGTAATCCAAAAATACTATGATTAATTCCACTTGGTTGGTTTGTAGCTTCATGACAAATGTAAACTGGTAAGAAGCACAATGGTTAGTAACACAATTTCCTAAGACTCGCTCTTTGAAGAAACGCTGAAACAAACCACAGAGGACAGACATACATTCATTTTTTAATATGGTATACAGACGTAGGTAGCAATACATCTTCATAACTATCCTTCAACGTCACTAGGATGTTACATCAACAAATGGACAAAATAATATAATAAAAAGCATGTGCATGTTCAAGGCAATGTAAATTGCATTAAAAGAAAGACGCCATGTTGCCGATATGTTGACGTCACGTCGGTATTAAAATAATAAATAATTGTAACTTTGCAAAATTTATAATGAATCGCTAACGTGATGGTTAGTGAGATAGAATATAATGAGTTGATATTGATATTGAGAAGATGTTGAAATTGTCAATGTTGATATTGAGAAGTTGAACTAATCAACGCGAGAACTTTCATTGCGCGATTCAGCATTAGCAGTTACTCCGTAGTTCGGTGTGTCTTCGTTAGGTAGTGCTGAAGTATGTTTTTGTTTCATTGTATGTGGAAGTCGCCACCAACTCATTCTTGCTAGATTTGTACTTTCTACTTTTACAAAATCCATTGCTCATAGTAATGTTTAAGTTGAATAACACAGGAAGAGTAAAATATTAGAAAATGTATAGAGATATTTTTATTATCGTTTTTCACTGATACTTATGACATAATGTCATAGCGGCCCGCGTTTTCCAATACAGAAAACTTTGAAGTTAATTATAATATTGATTATCTAAAGTTATGAACTAATGCATCTTACTATTATGTTTTAATGGTATATTCATTTCATGTAGGACTCTATTCAAGAGATGGTTAATACTTTCACCGTTTAGACGTGAAATGTTCATTTTTTTATTTGTGTTTATTAAGACTGACAGTTTTAGTCTATACTAATATTATAAAGTTGAAGTGTTTGTTTGGTTGGACGCGGTAATCTCAGGAAATACTAGTTCGAATTACCAAATTCTGTTGAAATGCTTATTTTTATCGAGAACGGCTAAAGGTTAAATATCTATCATCGCTACGACCAATAAGAGCTCACATCAATGAAAAAGTTACAAAAATGGGTAAAATGTATTATTTTTGAGAGATATAGACTAGGTTGTGGTGGTCAGCTAGTGCTTACATAATAATAACTGTATCATTTTAATTAGTTGGAGAATTTGTGTGTGAATTTGTGTGAGTGATTCAATATAGCACTTCAATCCTTTAAACGTAGTGCAAATATTACAAGTAATTTAATTTGAAACAAGCTGTTTAGGGTAAAGTGTACAAAAAATATCGTTATGTATAAAAAACAGGGGTATAATTGTTTCCCAAAACAAGTGAAGCTTGTTAACAGTAAAGAAACGAAGTTAATTAAGTTAATTATTGTAATGAACACAGTTCTGTTTATATTTAAATCGTTAATTACGTCTTGTTTTAGGCGAATGTTTTTTCTTTGAATTTGAATATAACGGTGTAACTTTATTCTAATTTTCTACATTTTTCTTCTTTTTAATTGAGTTATTTTAGGACTTACAGGAATGGTATGTAGCAATGTCCAGAAATGTTTCTATCAAAACTGTTTCTGAAGATTTCAGATACTTTTTTGGTTGTAGAAAGGATGTTAACACCTGCGTTATACTGTATTACTTGTTATATTGTAAGGTTGTTTGTAATGTTATAACTGTCTTATATGAATTTTATTTTACTTACGTTCCTCGGTAGCAAGCTAGCATATCTAAAGAGGCAGTCAGTATATTGGCATGGATACAAATATAGAATATAATTATTTACTTGAAGTCAGTAATTAGGCATTTAATTAAATCATGTGTACATTTATTGTATTACAAACAAATTTTAAGTTCTTAGTAGATCCGGAGAGGCAGCGCACAGAGTTCTGTGTGCGCTTCTAGAGGACTGCGACCGAAGGGTGATGGTCGCAACGGGTGACGAGACCTGTCTTGGGTGAAACGGGTCAATGCCTGTCGGGAGTGGCGGAAGAATGCAATTGCGATTCTCGCTCCCCATTGGAAAGAGAAACACCGGGGTGGTTTTTAGTGGGTAAGTGTCCGACAGACACCTTCGCCATCCCCATGAGTGAAGGACATCCACGAGGATCTTCCACCCCATTAACAAAAAAAATGTTCTTATTAGATACATTGTTTGAATTGGTATGTGGCAAAGTAGTACTACGTCCACTATTTCCCTTTATGAAAGTTGCCAGTTACATTTGTACTTTGTAGCATATTCGTAATTCAATAAAAAAAAAGCTGCAAATTATGCTGACCAGCACTGTTTAGGAATTCTTTTACAATGTGAACAGAGAGTTATACAAAGTACAAGAAGTAATACTGCGCTGATACACTGCACTTTCAGAATAGTACCATTCAGTTGAGCGTCAGATGTCCTCTAATCATGCCACGTATCGTGACCATCTATGTTATACAACATATATTATATGTGTGTGTGTCACGTAATTTGAAGCTATTCCTTTTTTTTTGTACGTGTGTAAACCTCTGGGGCCGTCATCCCACCGCGGTTTACGGTGGGGCGGTGTGTCGGGAATCGACCCGTCTAAAGCTATACGGTGGCCAAACTGCGATTTAAGTAGGAGGCCTCAGACGACATACATGTTATTTTTTATGTTAGAGGGGGCAGACAAGCAGACGGGTCACCTGATGGAATACCACTTTCATGGTACATTTGAGCATCACTTTCTAACCGTTTGACTATGACATGTGAACGGAAAAATCCGTCTTGTCCAACCGCGGCCTCACCAGCCGCGAATTGGGTGGCGGTGAGTCGCCTCCTTCTGTATATGTACCTATTCCTATCCTATCCAGCTAAGTAAGAGGTTCTGTTAAGAGTTGTTTAAAATGGGTAGTGGGTAGAAATCGAATCCACAACTGTATAATCGTAAGTGCAACTCCCACGCCCTTAAAAATCTTAATATGTGCAATAAAGGGTAGAAATATAATTCTATCTTTATATAGGTGGTCCTAGTGCTTTATCAATCTCGCTGTATACGTTAGCAGCAACTCGCTGACATCCTCTGTTCAACAATATAATTGCTTTGCTGATTACGAGGAGTTTGTGTGTCTTTTTTTCTTCATTGATCTCCTTCTGCCGCTTCTGTTTGCTTCTACGGTGAATTTGAATTTCGAACGCGAGGGCTACAGCTGGAATTGAAAAAAAATATGTAATAAAAATGTATTCATCATACTGCATTGAGTTTTTGTACCAAATTTAAAGTTAGTTGTATGATAATACACACATAAAACAAATCAACTAAAAGTGTACTATTAATTTCTTAATTTTGCACCCTTTGGGTATATTTTCAATTTTTGACAAATTTGACTGGTAGTTGTACCCTCTCAAATAAAAAAAAGAAATTACGGATTTCTAAACTAAAAAACGTTTTCAAGTCAATTAAAAATCTTATAAGTTTCACTAGTACCAAGGTTTAAAGTTATGTACATAAATTGTACTTGACTTCCTTAAGTAGTTCAATACCATTTTATTTTAATCACCTGCTAAAAGATGCCCGATGCCAAGTAAACAGAATGCACCTCGCAGCATCCTCAATGAAACAGGCTCCAAGCCCTTTGTGGATTCCCCTGGGGTCTGTAAGGAACAGCGAAACAAGAGACTTTATATAATATTATTAAAGAATCTGAAACAAGTCACTAAGAATACTAGCATAAGGAATTTATACTCAAAGTGGCGCTTGAGAATAAAGGCTTGGATGGAGGATTTTTAATAAGAAATTTATGCAAAATGTAGCTTTTAAGAAAATCAGTTACTTTTTAAATATAATATCAAGCCTCCCCTTAAGTATATAGCAGGTGTTTTAAGTAAATCCGCTTTTTTTAATAATATTTAGAAAAAATTAATGCGTTTTTCTAGGATTTATGATCTTTATGAACAGCTAAAAGTTTTCAGACCGATATGAAGTGGGAAATAAGAATTATTTCTGTTTAAGGGCTTATTCTATGGTCTAGTTATAGTATCAATTTTTTTAAATTATTTCAAAAGGCACGAATTGCCAATAAAAAAAGTTACATGAACCTCACAATTCTGAAATAAATTCATCCAACACACCGCACCGTATTTAAGTGTATTAAATTATTTTTAGTTCAATAGACGCTCTATTGAACTAAAAATAATTTAATACACTTTTGAGTCACAAGTTTTTTAAATTAAATTTTTATACAGCCATTGATTTTAATTGTGTATTAGAAAAGTTAAATAATTAAATGATAATAATTGGTAAACTCTCACCTATCACCTAGAAAAACGTTGCTATTGTGATATTTTTGATATGCTGGATATAAACGGATAAAAATAATAATTTTTAATTAATTAATTTAATTTAATTTAATTTAATTTAATTAATTAATTTTAATTTTTTAATTTTTAACTATTCTTTTTTTAATTCTTAGTCGTTTAATTTGATTAAATTATTGATTATATTTTAACATAAATGTATTTTGTTATGAAGTAAATGAAATGAAAACTGCAGTTACTGCATTTAAACTCATTCACACATAAAGTGGGTGCAAGCGCGGGTTGCGTTCATAGATCTAAAACAACCGATTTAAAACGTTTTAAATAAAATGTTGCCGTTTTAAACAAAAACAAAACGTTTTAAACGGTTGAAAACTCTCCTACAAAAATAAAATAACTGTGTTTTACATTTCATTGTGGCCAATTTTTGGTCACCTATCGTGTTGTTTCGTTTTAATTAGTTCATAGAAAATCAATAAAAAGTACTTACCTACATTACCTACTACTCGTACATGAAAACTTAAGTATATAGGTATGCCTACTTATATTATATTATATTATATAACACACTAAATTAGAAGACATCATTGACCCAATGCCCTCCGTTTTACTTGCGAATGAAAGAGACAACGTTATGTCTTCAAGGCCTTCGCAAGTGACGACGTCAACGAGAGTGCAAGAGTGTGAGTTTGGTTTTAAACCGAATCAAATTGATTATTTATATCGTTTGAAAACAATGAAAAAAACGTTTTTTTAACCAATGCAGTCGTCACAAGTCACAAGCGTCAGTGTGAGTGCCTATTTGAGACGTATGTGTATTACGAATAAAAGAACGACGTTATGCCCGCTAATATTCATCCACGCACGATCGGGACGGGTGCTGCTCCCGCTCAGCACCCGCCCCACACCCGACCCGCGCATGTTTTCAGTGTGTTGTCTTCATAGTGGCTTGGGTTACCCTATGGTTGTCTTCCATATATATATGAGGAATTAGACCCGCCGGACTCCCGTCCCGACCAACGCCCGACCCGCACCCGCTTTACGTGTGTGTTGCGTTTTATGGTCACGCTCAGCTCTCCTAAGGGTCGTAGTGTGACGTGGTATACATAATAGAATATAGTTGTATCCATATTTATAAGGGATACATGGTTAAATATACTAAATAAAAAATTATTTTAAAATTTTCACTAATATAATTTTTTACGTTGTTTTTACATTTCTTTTCCTATCCTTATTTTAAAAACACTGTACCGACGCCGTCCCAGCCAGCCGTCAATAACTGTCAACTGAGCAAACAATGGAGGTTGTCTTCATTCTCTTTGTTGAAAATGTTAAATTTTCTAATTGAAAAGACAAGACGATATGAGAATATTTACAGTCAATTTACAAAATGGTTTTAAACTGCCAATAAATAAGGTGTAATTGTTTATATTCACGAGTTGTGGGCGAAAAAAAATCGCACTAGGATCCTTGTGCAGGAGATATAAAGTAAGACTCCTTAGTATTGTTTTTTTTTATCAATGGTTGTCTAGGTCAATAACCTTAAGTGATACCACTGCTTTAGCGGAATTTGATGTGTGTAAGTGTTAAACGGCTTGTTCCTTTTGTCCTTATATCAAAAATTCCTTTTTATTTCATCATAAATTCGAGTTTCGTTTCAAAAAACAAATACCGATGGGCAACTAAAAAATAAACATAGAAAGGAGCATAATAATATGCTCTTTCTAATTTTTTTCATTTCAATTATACATTTAGGTATATAAATTTGTATAAAATTGCACGATTGTTTCAAATACAATACAAACATCATCAAATGTTAAATACTTTTTTTTATGATGAACTAGTAATATTTAGTTACCAAACTATACTTAAGCAAATTTCGCAGAGAACATATACCACTGATAGTTGGTTGAGGAAAGATTTTCGGACATCTGACACACAACGCCATCTAGTTTCAAACTAAGCGCAGCTTGTACTATGTAAGTTATATTGACTTTTAGATTTTTTTTGTAAACATTAACTTTGCATGTATATATGTTTTGACATAATTATTTTATTTTACTCACTGATTGAAAAATGTTACAAAATTTTAATCATTGATTAAGAACTTAATGATACTTGTACAATAAATATTTGTTTTCTTTTTTCTTTCTTTCTACTAGATTCAGTACCTATTTTTAAAACACCATCATATTTTGTTATTGAAATTATTTAGCAAATAACGCCGGACAATGGTTCTGCAAAGAAAAACTTGACACAACCAACCAACCACCAAATCTGTAAAACCTATCTGGCCAGCGTGGTATAGTAGGACAAAACCTCCTTTCTAAGAAGAGGCCTATGTCTAACAGTAGACTATTAAAGGCTGTTGACGTGATGTGTAGTAAAATTATTTGTTTTTCACTTTGTTTACTTTTATTTTTACCTGCGACTGAGCAGTAGAATCCACGATGTCATTGCTTTGTCTGTCACTCTCAGTGACAGGTTCAGACCTTCTGGACTGTTCTGGCAGATTCTTGTATTCATCTGTCGTCATCTTTCCCAAAATGCCCGCTTCGAATAGCGTCATAACACTGGCGAGTAGATATGGAAATTATTGTTACTTTTAAATCATATTCAAATGATGAAATGACTGGTTTTAGTCACAGCGATTCCTCATGTGATTGTGATTTCGTCATAGACAAAGATACAAATGATTACCTTCTTTTTTAGATTTAGACTGCGAATTATTGTAATTAAGTAGCAGTGATTTTATAGAACAGTCACATGTGTGGTAATATGATTTATCACATGTGATTGTGATTTTATTTCATCCTAACTGGCGAGTGATAAAATTTCATTTTATTCACTTATTTAGTCTAATTTATACATTTTAAGTTACTTGTCCTCATTGACGGACTGAGTCATCAACGCAGAGTCTAAACCGCTAGGACTGCAACCTTGAAACTATGGTAGTTGATGCTTTTGGAGATCGAGGGTTCGATTCCCGCCCGAGACAAGTGGTTGTGTGATAGGCGAGTCAGTATGTGCCGTGTCTGGGAGTGGTTTGTCTGTGATGAGTGTGATTGGAAGTATATGAGTGTGACTGTGTGTCCGGCTGTAGTGATGAATGAGGTTGCTAAAATTGTTTATAAAATAAGTGTTAATTACTACTATACATGTTTTTAACAACAAATGGCTACACTATTGTATTAGGTACAAAACCTGTAAAAATAGTTGTATTGTGTGTCATATTATATAAACAAATTTTTATGTTGTAAGCATTGAACTAACATTGAACAGGATGGTTGTATGGAATTTTGTCATTTTCAAATTTAGAAACATGAAATGAGAATTAATTAAAATCTTGATATGGAAATGACCATTCGAGTATTATAATTGTTATTTTAGATAAAGTACAGAGACTGTAACCTGAGAATCATATAAAAAATACCTACTTATTTCGCATCCATTGCGGTACATACAAATTTTATTATGAAATATGGGAGCCCATTGGTGATATAACCGCAGCACGATCGAAACAAGCATTTATTTGCATAAAATTAAGCTGAATAGGAACCAAATTTATGTATTGTTAAAAATGGTTTACAATTTTTAAACAGCATTGCGAACATGATACAGCCATGTTATTGCTATAATCATTTATAGAAGTAGTGCCGTTTGACTGTTTGAATTTGGCACCAACATTCTAAATTCAAACAGGTATATCCATCAGGCGCCCATTCTCTTTTTCTCGTATTAGCAATACTTTAACAACGTAATTTCCAGAGCTTCTTTTGGCAAAGCCATACTTTCTAGAGAGACACTCTTACCGGTAGCACCAGATGAGCCGTGTTATTATTTACTACCTAAATTACATGAAATAAATACTTGACACTAGTTAAATGCACAATAGGTCTACGTCTCAAAATACAAAGTTACAGTGACAGCATGAAGAATAATGACATCTCAAAATTGATTAGGTTTTGAATATTTGCTGGATCGTCCTTCTAAGAGGTAATGCCTTGTCGAGAGGCCGATAAATTATTTTAACTGTTACTTACACATCATTGAATGTTTCCAGATAAGGGCAGCCTATTTGTAGGGCGATAGCCGAATACCTTGTGTAAAGCTTCTCACTTAAATGAAAATTGTGTGAACCTTAAACAAAATTACATTTCCAGAGATAAGATTAATTTGATTTATCAATAAAATGTCCTAAGCTTGTGACAAATATAGCGGGGTAGTCCTAATTCTGCCTGAAATTACTAATGTGAAAGTATAGTTTGATCATCATCATCATCATCAGCCTATCGCAGTCCACTGCTGGACATAGGCCTCTCCCATTGCACGCCACTTAGATCGATTTTGGGCTTCTCGCATCCAGCTCCTGCCAGCCATCTTGCGCAAATCGTCACTCCACCTGGCCTGTGGGCGTCCTACACTACGTTTGCCGAGACGCGGTCTCCACTCAAGAACTCGTTTTCCCCAACGGTTATCGGTTCTGCGGCTAATATGGCCAGCCCACTGCCACTTCAGCTTGCTGATCCGGTACGCTATGTCGGTGACCTTAGTTCTCTGCCGGATCACCTCATTTCTGATGCGATCCCTTAGAGAAACGCCGAGCATAGCCCTTTCCATAGCACGTTGAGCGACTTTGAACTTGTGGACCAGCCGTACCGTAAGTGTCCACGTTTCAGCTCCGTATGTCATGACGGGTAGGACGCACTCATTAAAGACTTTCGTCTTAAGGCACTGTGGGATCGACGATGAGAAGACTCGACGTAGCTTCCCAAACGCTGCCCAACCCAACCGAATTCTTCTGTTCACCTCGTCCTCGAAGTTGTTTCTACCTAACTGCAATGTCTGCCCGAGGTACACATAATTTTGAACAACTTCGAGAACGGCACCGTGTACCGCAATCGGTTCCGGTAGTACATGTTCGTTGAACATGACCTTGGTTTTATCCAAGTTCATCCGTAGGCCGATGCGTACAGAAGTGTCAGCTAAGTCATTCAGCATTTGCTGTAGGTCCTGCAACGTCTCTGCCATGATGACGATGTCATCTGCAAATCGCAAGTGAGAGATGTATTCGCCATTGATATTGATGCCACGCCCTTTCCAGTGCAGCGTCTTGAACATGTCCTCCATTGCATTTGTGAACAGTTTCGGGGAAATAACGTCCCCTTGTCTCACTCCTCGATGCAATGGTACGGGCCTTGTTTGCTGATTCTGTACTTGGACGGACATGGTGGCGGCTTCGTAGAGACATCTCATCACTTGGATGTATCGCCAATCTACTTGGCAGCGCTGCAGGGACTCCAGAACAGACCAGATCTCGATCGAGTCAAAGGCTTTCTCATAGTCCACGAATGCTAGACACAGGGGCTGATTATATTCTTCGGTCTTCTGTATAATCTGCCGCACTGTGTGGATGTGGTCTATGGTGCCATATCCGCTCCGAAACCCAGCTTGCTCCGGTGGTTGGAATTCGTCGAGTCTTTGCGCAAGACGGTTCGTGATGACTCTCGAAAACAGCTTGTAGACGTGGCTTAGAAGGGATATGGGTCGATAGTTCTTCAACCTGGTCTTGTCACCCTTTTTGAAGAACAAGACGACCACACTCCTACTCCACGCTTCTGGAGTTTCTCCCTTCAAACAGGACAGCGTTGAAGAGCTTTTGGAGCTCCCTTAGTACGGGTTTACCCCCGGCCTTCAGCAGCTCTGTTGTAACGCCATCCTCTCCAGGGGCTTTTCCATTTTTCAGCTGTCCAAGAGCCATCTCGATTTCGTCAATGCTAACTTCTGGCAGGTCTTCGGTGTAGTGACGTGTTAATGTGGCTCTAGAGTCCTCATTTTCGGGATCAGGTCGAGATGCATGCGAAGCGTATAACCGGCCATAGAAGCTTTCCACTTCCAAAAGGACTGCCGGCTTCGAAGTAACGACTTCTCCACTTTCTGTAGTCAACTTTGTCAGGTGGCTTCTTCCAAGAGATTGTACGAACACTTTTGACCCCCGATTTTGCTCGATCGCTCTTTCAATTGAAAGAGTATTGGAGCACCGGAGGTCGTGTCGTACGAGTTTACTGATCTCTCGGTTTAGAGTCCGCTTTGCCGACAAAGTGACAGGTGGGTTTTCACGTCGTTTCTTCATCAGCCCTAGGGTCCTTTCTGAAAGCTTCGACTTCCTGCCCTTACGCTGCATTTCACAAAATCTCATACCTTCTTCCCTGAGGATCTGAACCACATTTTTGAGGTTCTGGTTTACGTCGATTGTGGTTTCCACGGCAGCGAATCGGTTTGCCAGTTTTGACTGGAACGTTTCAGATCCTGTCATGGCCTGGAGCCGAGTTGGTCGGAGCCTGGATTTCATCAAACAGACACGTTCCGCCTTAAAGTTGATATTCAGAGAGCCCCGGACAAGTCGGTGATCACTACCGGTATTAAACCTATTGATCACTGAGACGTCTCTGAATATGTGCTTTCTATCCGTCATGATGAAATCGATCTCATTTCTAGTCATAGCGTCGGGGCTTTGCCACGTCCACTTCCTTTGGGGCTGTTTCTTGAAGAAAGAATTCATCAAAAACAGCCCCTCCCGTTCGAGGAAGTTGACCAGCATTTGCCCCCTATGATTCCTGCTTCCAAATCCATGGGATCCTACAACCGATTCGCTGCAATTCTGTACTCCCACTTTAGCGTTGAAGTCACCCATAACAACGCTGTAGTGGGTCTTAGTTGTGAAGTATATAGTTTGATACATTAATATTATTAATGATAGGCCTGTTGGTCTAGTGGTTAGTGACCGTGACTGCTAAGCCGGAGTTCGTGGGTTCGATTCCCACCTAGGACAAATATTCTGTGATGAGCACGGTAATTTGGTCTGTCTTGGTATAATTTTATAATACAAGTATGTTTATCAGCAGTTTATTTAGCATAGTACAATCTCTGCCTAGTTTGGGATTAGACGGCCGTGTGTGAGATGTGTAAGCTTATTAATTTCATTATATTAATTTTCTCAAAGTTCTCGCAACTCCGGCAGTATCAACGATTGCGCAAGGGTTAGAACGATTTCTAGTTAGGCTTACTAATTTGCCAGACTTACTGAATTGAGTTAGTAATCAAAAACTAGTGTGAATATTGAAGGTTAGTTTCTGTTGAAGTCCTATCCCGTGTCGAATAATAATGTTAACCGTCTGTAGACTAGTTTAATAAAGTATATTCGGATTTCTAGGTAGGCTTCGCCAGAGGATTGTGGTGATTTTATGTGCTTTACCAGAATTAGCTGAGGATTGAGCAGCTTGAGGCCACAGGCGTCATCTGGGTGGAATGAACGTTTTCGCTAGTATATTTGCTGAGAGCTAGTGATAGCTACGCCACGTACATTATCGTTAGATACTCTCACAATTAATAACCAATGAATCCATTATATAGGATTAAATATAATGATATGTACTTATGAACCGTTGAGACATACAAAACAAAATGTAACAAAACAATAAAGAATTACACACGGAGGGAATCACGGACGTAATACCGGAATCTTATATGTAGATAAATAATTATTTTAAGTTATTGTAGAGTTAGAGAGTGTATAGAAAAAAGTCAATAATTATTTAAAGAAAGTTGTTCATTTTGTGTATAACGAACAATGTTAAGAGATTGTGTAAGCTTTCTTACCAAATCGTTCAGTATCATAGTACAATGTTTCCCTTCCTCCTAGTACTGCAACATTTCTATGTGTTAGAACAAGTCTCACACCAATTTCAACATTGCGTACGCGTTGTATGCGCTGGCGGCGCATAAGTTGCGCTAAACGGCCATAGACACCCGTGCCATTCTGAAAGATAAAAAATTGCAAATTCTACTTTTTTTAAAGTATGTAATTTTAAACAAAAAATGCTATCGAGATCTTTTTTCAAATATTGAAGCGCTTAAAAACATTTTTTCCCCAAAATTGTTAGTGTTTATCTCTTAGTCAAGCAATGGGAAAGTACGTTGAGCCTTATGAGCTGAAGAGGAAATTGCACTCTTCGACTTAAATACTCATGAATCATTCCCGTTCGAGGTTCATAGACGGCAGTAGGGGATTTACCACGATTGTGAGATTAAGGTAGTGAGACCAGTGGAAAAGCTTTTCTTTTGTTATTATAGGTGAACCTTCTTTAGTAATTTACTGACAAGTGAACATATTACAAACGAAATGTAGTTATTTAAGTTACCTTTACAACTTTTATTTTTTGGGAAAAAATTATTAATGTGGCAAGTTTTTGTCATCACGATGTCTTTACACATAATAACTATAAAAAGTTACTTCTAAAATTGTCAGCGAAGAGCTATGACTTTCCACCACTAGTTCATATCCATAATCTCTCATAGCTTCTTCTAAAGCTTGTAAAGTGCCAATCGGACGTTCTCTGGCCGGTCTTGCCAGTAGACTGGTCAAATTGGCAGAGTACATGTCTCCTATGACATAAGTTGCTCCAAGGGAAATCAGGACTGAGACAAGACGAGCTTTGTGTGTGCTAGATGGTTCTTTACTGGAAGCTGAAAATGAGATAGATTGCGCTGAAACTTTTGTCTTAATTTCTTTTAGGTGGTTAATGTTTATTTAACTACGCACATTAGCAATTTTCACAATCTCAAGTTCTGTTAATCAGCCAGAACTATTGGCCGCCGGATCAATAGCGCTAATTAGTCAGTTTATTTTTTTGAACGTGCCTCTGCTATTTGGGAGTAGTTCTAGAAAGTCGAATGTTAATACTAAATAACTATAAAGCAGCTTTAAGAAAATATGAATGCAGAGTCCATCCCTTGGAAAACAATGAATAAAATGGATCCTTACACTGTCTCAAAAATAGCGTAGTTGTAAACCAGCAGCACGTATTAAAGAGCCCTAGTTGATCGCATTCACGCTTTTGCCATAAAGATGGTGCTGCAATGACTATCCACAGAGCTGGTCCAGTAACCAATAGTGTTGCGCATACTAGTGGCCAGACCTGAAAAAACAAGTTTCAAAATCCTTTATGAAATGAGCAAAGTGTGAACACACAAACGTACGAAGAAAAGTGAACAGGTCGTCTGCATACATGTGCGCTGTGCAGTGTTGCAGCACATTGCATTAACTATTTACGTGCCTCAGGTAGCTGACAGTACTGCATCCGGATCCCTGAGCTACCCCGCAGTTTACTTCTATCTTTCATTGTATGTATACGTCATTTTAAAGCGGTAGGAACGCGCTGTGAGAAAATCACTGAACCATTTATTCAGTGGTTCTCCCACACTGCATTCCTCTATCTTAGTTGTCCTCCACATTCGACAGTATGACATTATCTAAAGATTGTTTTGTATTACCCAGCATATTGTTAATTTTTTGCCCATAGCTTATTGATATTATTTTTACATTCTAATATACGAGTACAATCTTCTTCATATTTGTTTCTACTTTTATTAATAGCTTTTTGACACTTATTTCTATATTAGGTATAATTAAGACGCTTTAGCATATTCTTTGGTTCCTACCTCCATATATTGAACAAGCTATCTCTTTCTTTTAATATTTTCTCAAGGTTACCGTTAATCCATATTTTACACGCTTTATATTAGCTTCACTTGTATGTTTGTTTGTTTGTTTGTATGTTTGTAACCGACTCCTTTGGGCGTGATTTTGACTGACTTTAAACGGTCAGAATTCGTTCAAACTTTGTAGATATATCGGGGACCGATGACAATACAATACTTTAAAAAAAAAGCGAAAGTTGAAAAAAGCGTGGGGTGCTTTTTACTATTGACAACAGGCAACAAACGCTTTTTTTCAAATTTATTAAAATTTATTTTCTATTTTTTTGTTTGGTTTTCTATAAAAGCGTGTTTTTTAGTTTTTTTAAACTATTTTTTTTTATTTCTATTCTTGTAAGCTACTTTTCTGTATTTTGTAACATTCACTAATATCACCATCTTACCTCCCATTGAAAAGGCCTGATGATCGCCAATGTTTCGCTAAGTTTTGCTGGAGCATGAGTTAGAAATGCACCAGAGTCAGCTAAAGTTAGGAACGAGAACTCCACTGCCTGCAGACGTTCCCAAGTCATAGTGACGTCTCCCAGAAAGAAGTCGGCGGTCTGTTGAAGTTAAAAACCAATGATGTCTTAATATTTTAACTAAAGGCCATATCATTCAATCAAGTTCTTACACGTTTCCAAATCAATCCTAGAGTTCCCTTAAAAGTACCATTGTTGGATATACTCGACCCCTGGCTTCTATCTGGTGGATCGTAATATCTGTATCTGAAAATATAAAAATGTTCCGAATATACCCACTGACTAAAACATTGAACATGAAATTATATTCTTACCTAAAATTTAACTTTTTGGACATTAACGAAAGTAGCTTATCGTCTCTCCCTCCTGTCACTGTGATTGTGGAGTCATTGTTGTACTTGACAAAGTGCCATGGAGGTGCCTGAAATAGAACGAAATATTTTTTAAAATTGTGGTCTTAATATTTGAATTTTATATTTACATTATAAAATAACTCAAAAGGTTTTAGATAATGTTGCATCATTAAATAAATGCTTAAGCTTTTCTCAGGAATTCAACTCGAGGGAATTTAAATAGTAACCAGAAACTTTTATCATATCTCTAAAAAGTTAAAACATTAGTATATAAGCTCCATTAGGTATCATCATTCGAGGTACACCGTCGAATGTTTTAATCAACATCAATCACACATTGGGTGACGATATCATATGTTGTATAATACCGATGCCAGATGATCTAGGGTTTAAAAAGTCTTAAACGGGTCTTAAAGGGATCAAGACTTTTTTTGAAATTATTTAGGTACCTTAAGCTCAGAAATATAAAAGTTACTTACATGAAGCACGGGCACCTCAAACACTCTCCCTTTGAAATCTCGGTACACTCTTTCAGCTGGTGGTAGTAAAGGAGATTTATACAGGCGACCTGACCACCAATTAACGAGAGTCAAACGGTTCAAACGGTCGGGTGTTGCTTGGTTGTAGTAGATTCGAAACCTAGGTAAATAGGTCAATAAACATGTGTGATTAAAGAAAATTTGATTTGAATTATAGGAATAGGAGAACCAAGTCCAACAGAGGAAAATCCCCTATCTCGTCCGTGTCACCAGATAGATCACGTACTTGCTTGCCAACCAAGTACAAAAAAAAGTCAAATTAACAGAGAAATAGCGTTGCAAGTAAATTTTATTCAATTTGCCCTAAAATATGATTAATTGCGAGTAAGTAAATTAAGTAAAGATTAAAGACGGTTTAACTTTTTCTGAGATTAGCCGATTTTCACATCGATTGAAAATATTATTGGTTGCTGCAATTGATCCGTAATCGTAATTCTTGAATGTGAGTATATTTTAAAAAAAGAAGCCAATGCAAAGCCTGTATGTTCTAAACCTTCGTTTCACAGTCAGATGACTGTTTTGTTGTTTTACTCGAATGTCAATATTGAAACAGGCAATTCAGTAATCAAAATAAAATTGGAAGACAGCTAAGTAACCTCAATTAACTGGTTATTGAACGTTTCGTGCATGACAGTAGATCTAGAGACAGATCAGCTAGTCAATGTTAGGAAACTAAGTTGTACTAAACAAGGTATTTTTAGAAAGTATTCTCATACAAATATACCTCCTGCCGCCACAGTTTTTTACATATATATATATATCATATCAGTTTATTTGAAGTTACGCAAATAGTTATTTAAAACTGGATCAAATCAATTATCATATTTACACAAAACAAAAATTAGCAGACAAATTAATATAACACAGTATACATACAGTGTATTTAATTAGAATTTTGTTCTTTTAGGTATTCGTGCTCAAATAATCTTAACAGGTGTCTCGAAATAATTTCCGACGACGACGTCTAACAAATCTACAAACATAATTTTCTTTTAGTCTTGAATCAACACAGAAAAACAGAAGAACCTAATCTTATAATGCCACACAATGCCTGAAATATTCATCCTCCGTCTAAATAAAGAAATGACTGCTATAACAAAGCTTAATGAAGAATGACAGTCTTTATTGTACTAAGCTAATAAACTCGAAAAATATTTTCTTTGGAGCTTATAAAATATGGTGGGGCCAAGTCTCAATCGGCGAACGGCTCAATCGAATTACCAAAGTACGTGATTGTCCAAGACTTTGTATTCGTCGTGCAACTATTGAACTTCAGTGGAGGCGAAATGTAATTTTTAGAAATACCCCCAGGCGAGCGCGGGTGAGCAATCAACCGCTGTTGCACTGTACTGACAACAAGAAAAAGGTTAGTTGCTCTTTTTTTCTACACAATTGATTTATTCCATAGCCTTTATTGCTTTTTGCAGATGAGGAAAGTTAAAGTTTAGTTGAGTTTAAGCTTGCGATTTGTTATCAATAATGCGGTGTAATTAAGTCTCTTAATGAGTTCTGATTGGAGTCATCTGAGGAACTGCTGCGAAAATTCATATTAGTCGGATATTGATATCCACACTTTGGCATGCCGCATTATACATGCGACTCGCTCTGATCAGATATGAGTTTTGTCTGTAGTTAGAATATACAACGGCAAAATGCATAATAATTTTTTGATTACCGTTTAGATTAATAATACAAATAATAAATATTTCTTAATAATTAATACTAATTACTTGATGTAATTCATATAAGAGAAGAAACTAGTTGTAATTTATTATAAATAATGGTATTGGACACTAGGTTGAACCGATTTTTTAATCCGTATAGGTACACTGAAATAGAATAATAATAATAACCTCACAAATCTCACACACGGCCGCTTGATCTCAAACTAGGCAGAGAATGTATTATGGTAAGCAGACTGCTGATAAACATACATATTTCTAAATACATACATAGTAAATATAAAATGGGTGTATTTTTTGAAGACTCAGAAGAAATGATCGTGCTCATCACACAATTATTTTTCCAGGATTAGACTATTAAATTATTATTATTACTATGTTGACTTTTGTACGTGAGTGTACTTGACGTACTTTAAAGGAGCCAACGCTCTCATATGGCTCTCATAAGTTTTCTTTTAGACGAGGCAGTGTATTGTCAAGGTATTTAGTTTAGTTAGTTACTATGTGTTTGTATAGCTTTATAAGTAGCCGTACTAGACTCAATGAACTAAACATGTTGTCCTTATAGAGGTAATTTTTATTAAAAAAAATGGGCCAAGTGCGAGTCGGACAAGCGCACGAAGGGTTCCGTACCAATATCTATAAAAACGGCAAAAAAATCACGTTTGTTGTATGGGAGCCCCCTTTAATATTTGTTTTATTTTAATTTATTTTTAAAGTGAATAGATAACTAATTATTATGTGAATATTTAAAGCGTCTACCTGTTGCCGTTATCAATATCGAACAAAAACGAGCAAAAAAAACACTTTTGTTGTATAGGAGCCCCCTTAAATAATTATTTTATTCTGTTTTTAGTATTTGTTGTTATAGCGGAAATAGAAGTACATCATCTGTGAAAATTTTAACTGTTTAACTAACACTGTTTATGAGATACAGCCTGGTGACAGACGGACAGACAGACAGACGGACGGACGGACAGGGGAGTCTTAGTAATAGGGTTCCGTTTTACCCTTTTGTACGGAACCCTAAAAACTGTTTACATGGTTAGAAAATAAGTTAGAAAGAGACTTGATGTTCCTCTCGTGGTCATAACAAGCATTCAAAGAGCTAAATAAGATTATGAGATTATAAGTATTAATGTACTAAGTAACTAACTTATAAATACATATATGTATATTATGTATATTTAAAAAAAAAGCCAGCCAGGTACGAGTCGAACTCGTGCGCCGAGGGTTCCGTACCTACCCAGATTTAATTCATCAACTTATAATTGGTCAGGCCTGTTGATTAAGCGGTTAGCAATTCTGACTACTAAGCAAGAGACGACTCTTTAATCCGGGTTTAACTCCCACTCATGACAAATATTGTATGATAAAAACGATCATTTGTTCTGCGTCTATGTGTAATTGATCTATTATAATATATGTATGTTTAGAAATATACAGAACTAGCTGGACCCTTCCATGCTTTGATGTGGCATATTGTAGTTGCATTAATAAGAAATGATAAACAAAACTTACCTTAAAACAGAAAAGAAAATCCTTGAAACGGTTTGTGTGCCGTGTCAAAATTTGAGCTCTTTCGGTGCAGATTTTTACGATCACATAGACAAACATAAGTGGTCAAGTAAAGTCAAAAGTAGGCAGGACACAAAACAAACAAACACAACTTTCGTATTTTAAAAATATTAGGTATTAGTTCTACCTCTTTTACTATGGCTAAAATTGACGTACTCCTAGAGCTGTTAAACGAATTCAGGTAGTAACGAATTCAGTAAAATGTAGCCTAGGTCAGGAACTGAAGCCGGAGTTTAATCGCAAGACCTAAATATGAATATATCACTAGCGTTAGGCCAACACAGTTCCATATTCCAATGCGAATGTGTGGCAATAACTTACGCCACCACAACGGCCATGTCAAGGGCCATTAAGGACTATACTGTCAGACGTGAGCATGACCGTCCTAAAGGCACTAGAGGGCAACACAATGACCTCTGGTATTTTCTTCGAATGCTATCAAGCATTGGAGCAGCTTGCCACTGTAAATGGGGTACTAGTCTAATGGATTAAAGGGCATAGTAATTCACACGGGAACGACGCCGCAGATGAGTTGGCAAGGAGGGGCTTGGCAACCCCTGCCACCGGCCCAACCATACTGCAACCACTGACTTTTAACCAACTTTGATCCTGAGTTGGCGACGTACTCGTGAAGCGCACAACCGAAGGTGGAAAAACTCACCCGGCTACAGACAGTCTAAAACAATTGAAGTCTCACGACAACTTAGTTGCAGACTGATCAGTCTTAGTGGTCTAGATATCCGAATAGTTGTAGGAACCCATATCAGGACATCTAGCCCTGAACTGACAACTATTCACCATTAATGTGACGGACAGTCCTCTTTGCAGAGGATGTCTCAATGCAGAAGAAACGGCCGCCCACGTAATCCTGAAATGCGAGGGTGTGGCCACACAACGGGCAAGTATCATTAATGATACAAAATCGCTCCTAGAAGCCTGTGAACGCCCCAGGAGGCTTCTGTGCTTCTTTAAGGAGCTTGGTTGGCTCACCTAGCCAACCTGTTCTCGATGCATAAACTACCATCTTGAGTCTAAATGCGGAAACCGGAGCCCACAACCACATCCAATGGTAAAATGTATCGGTCCCGTTTCCTTTAATTTTGTGAATTTGTTGTGAACTGAATTTAGACAAGTTGATTGATTTAATAGTTATTTTTTAGTAACATTATATTTGAGCGAACAAATATTATATTTGAAATATCTGAGTGACATTATAGACCACTTTTTTAATTTAACGAACCTTCCTCCGAGCCTTTTTCCCAGACTTGGCTGGGGTCGGCTTTAAGTCTACTACGATACGGCTACGGCAAGGTTTTTACTTGGAGCGACTGCCATCAGACCTCCACAACCCCAGTAGACGATACCAAAGTTCTGAAGAAAGACTGTTGTCGGATTTTTAGGTTTCCAATCAATCAATCCAGACAATCGTTCCAGGTAGGAACGATTGCCAAAGACGTTCGTATGGCAATCCGAGCCGACGGCTTAACGTACTCTTCGAGGCATGAATTTAAACAACGTCAAACCAGCCAGTTCTACTGAAAGTGGTCAGTGACAGTGCATACCGATACACACATTATTAAGCCCCGTATTCAGCAGGCTACATGTCACAGAGACACATTGCCTGACTTTCTCGTGGTATGAGTCTGCGACTTCGCGGAACACAAAGCAACGTGCGTATTCATCAATCAAAAGTTGTCGAGCGATTGTAGGGGGAAACGAAAACTTGCTGGGGATCGACTTTTGATACGAATACCTATAGATGTCGCAGGCTACGTTGGGCGATACATATTTATATACCTATAGAAATTGTCAAGGATTTTTTTTTGGGCTACAAGGTCGCACGATAATTTATTGTTCCATGGTGATAATTGAATTTCTTTGCTACGAGTATAAGAAAATCATAGCCTTAGATTTTAAGTATATACACATACAATTTATGAAAGCCTATAATAATAATACACACGGCAGTCTGATCCCAAAATTGACAGAGCCCGCACTATGGTAACCAGACATACCTTACCAAACATACTTTAATAATATCTAAATTCATACATATTATAGAGAAATTTCACCCAGACACTGAATAAATCATCTTGCTCAGCACACAATTATTTATAATGGGAGGGAATCAAACCCACGTTCTGCGGCTTAGCAGTCAGGGTCACTAACCACTAGACTAACAGGCACGTCAATAGATTATTATTATTGTCTTTGATTTAGTTGATTTACAATCCTTGTTTGAGAAATGTGAATGCTCTGTACTTCTATTAAATATAAACTTTATTGTTTTATTATATATATCTCGTATCGTGGGGTATATAGAATTTTTTAGGTATTCTATACTAAAAAAACAATGACCTTAATTATTATCTTACTTAACTATAATTCAGCAAAATGGTGATCAATTTAAAAGTAATTAGTTACCCAAATTGTGATGTCATTTATTTTATATCGACATCATCACCACATCATCAAAATCAACAACATCACCTGTTCTTTAAATTATACTTAGTCCCGAATTCCACCTCTACATGTTTATTATGCCATATACATATACATACATACACATTCGTTGTGGTCTTAGAACACTAGTTGAATACACGATCAATTTTTTTAACATTGACAAGTTAGAGGAGAGCTACGAGGTGAACATTTAACTAAAAACTGACAAAGCAACACGGATCCTCATTTGTTTATAATTTTGAAGACATTTAACTTACATTTATAATTTCAATCAATTGACAATGACATGGAGACAATAACAATTGACATCACTGTTCATTTAGTAACTGATTTTCTTTTTTTTTGCGCTACAATAAAAAAATAATACTTACACACTTTCTCTTGGGTTGGTGATAACTGCTACTCTCATAGCCTCTCGCATTGTCATCAGGAAGGTCTCGCTGACGTGCCCGTAAGGCCAATAAAACAAGTACAGAATCGTGCGATGGATCAGGTTGCTTTCTGTCAACTAAAAATATTGCTGTTCAGATCATGTAAATCTATACTTTCATACTTATATTATAAATGTGAAAGTTTGTTTGTATGTTTGTTACGCTTTTACTTGTAAAAATATCTGAAAAGATTTACTTGCAGAAATAAATTTCATTAATAATTCATTTATCATTCACGCTTAAGCCACTGAACCGATTTAAAATATTATTTCACCAATAAAAAGCTACATTATCAGCGACTGTCTAAAAAATGACCAATGTTACATAGGTCATTTTTTACCTTAATAATAGACATACACGCGGGCGGAGCCGCGGGAAAAACCTAATAATCATATGGAACCAAAAAAGTCTACAGAATTCATGCCATTCTAAATTTGAAAGGAAATTCTTCATATTTAAATATAATCGAATGTCGCAAATAAATTGACAATTGTAATAGTCTATGAAACTCCTAACTTAGTTTTGTCTCTTTGCGAGAATTGCCATTCAAGTTCGGTATAATATTTTCTCTGTTTTGCTGCAAAATTTCTGCTTTAGTTTTAATTTAAAGAGTCTTACTGATATGAAATAGTATTTAAAAATCACTTAAAATGTGTGTTGCTTCGCCTTAACGTTGAACAGGTCGTCAAAAATATCGTAGTATGTGGTTTGTAAGAGTAGCCAATGTGACCACAACAAATGTCTAATAAATATTCAGAGAAGCTTTTGGCTGCCTTGCCGCTCTTCGAGCTTTCGTCCTTTGAGTCTGAAAAGCGGTCTTCTATGAGGCCGTGCTATCACTCCGGTCAAGCCGGCCCATTAGGCTCTTCCATGGTAAGATGCCATATATTTCTATTACTGAATATTGAAATTATTGGGTGTAACTATTGAGGGAAAAACATTATGTAACTGTGAATCTGAAGAATTGCTGATATTTATAGCTCAGGATTACCTATTTTAAGTGAAAGCCGTTCTTGTTATTAGTGGATTATTTGTTTACTTTTTTCTGTGTTGTCTAAATAAAAAATAAACAACTCACATCACTGAGATCTAAAGCTATTAGTTGTTTAAAGACATCGCTTTAAAGCCCAATCGTTTTTAGTACATGTTATCGAAATAAGTAACAGAATTTACATGTTTATAATATTGAGTGCTGCGAGTAAAAGTGTTTTGGTAAACAAAGCGTGTTTACATTTTATCCCGAGCCCAAGCTCGTAATAATATTTTACCTCAGATAAAATAAGTTCGCATTCATACGGCTCACAGAGGATAAGGCTTGTCCTTTCTTCTGATATGTCCAAAGCTTTTCGTAGAAACTTGTAATACTGCAACAAAATACTAAGTTAGATATCACTTTTTATATACGTGATCTAAATTTTTAGGGAAGGTATGTAAATATATTTGATTGTGACACTGAGATGTGTAAATCGTCTGTTGGCAACCGAACCGACGAGTTACTTTTTGGTAAGTGATTAAGGCTTCCCATATCCACGAGTCGCTTATAAAATCATAAAACGAGTTCACGACCTTCGGACTTCAGAATATGGGTTTGAAGAGGTTTGACCTCTTATAACATCATTAACTCGATGAAATGCTACAAAACAATTCCTTACCACAATCACTCTCATTGAGCCGCGCCATATGTACAGAGGCTATAGCTTTCACACGGTTTTCATATATTAATCTTTTAATAACTTGTGTACTATGTGTCCGTTTCATGTATGTTTGTAAAGTCCCCCGTGACACAGGATTTTTTCCTAGTTGTCTTTTAAAATAAAAAAAAACCGAATAGTAATAATAACTTCATACATCTCACACATAGCCATCTGATCCCAAACTCTGTAGAGCCTGTACTAACCAGACCGCTGATAAACATACTTATATATTTCTAAATTAATACATGTTATAGATCATTCAATTATTTGTTCTGGGTGGGAATCGAACCCACGACCCCTGGATTAGCAGTCAGGGTCACTAACCACTAGACTCACAGGCCAGTCAAATTATAAACCAGAATAATGTTGTAAGGATCCAGAATTAGTCTTTTTTTTCTAACTGTGTATAAAGAATAAAATTAAAAATATAAGTCTTTATTCAGACACTGTGTAGTTACATTAATATTTACTTATCCTAACGACTCGACCGAGTCGGTGACACCAACAACCCGGTCTGTTTGCACAATTTTCGCAAAGACCTCCTCCAATTCCTTCCACTCCTTTCTGTTTTGAGCTTTCCTTGTCCACATTTTTCCTGCTATGATTTTTATTTAAAACCACCTTCAAACCTGCCTCTCTGTATTTTTCTATCTCTTGGGTACCAAAACATAATTTTTTTTTGTTCCACTTTTCAATGCCTCTTATTATTTGACCACTTCCACTTCAATATTCTTAATCTCGTCTGATATCAACAAGTTTCGGGCGCTTCCTGATTGTTTTATTTTCTTATTGTTTGTTGTTTTGTCGGACCTCCTTACATTTAGCATGCTTCTTTCCATTGCTGTTTGGCATGTTTTCAGTTGCTTTCTTTTGCATTTTAATTAGTAAAAAACATACCAACTTACTTAAAAGTTACTCACGTTTCAGAGGAACTAAGGCATATTCTATGGGATATAAACCACCATATTATCAACCTATGGTTGGGTGAGCCACATCACAAAACTAAGAGAGTACAATATTGAGATTTTTTTCTTCCTTCAATTTAGTTATTTCTTCTTATAATAAATGTGTAAGTGTAAGAGTAATATAAGAGTAAAATATTTGTGTAAGTGTTTACACATAGTGTAAGAGTAAAATATTTGTGTAAGTGTTTACACAAATATACTTTTCTATTCCATCTATTACAAAAAACAGTTTGGTTAATTTTAGCTTTGTATGAACTAAACTGTCGGGCACACTGTTTTAATTATTGGTACGATTTTAGAAATGCTTCATTTCTATTATTTCTCAACCACTTCTGTAAAGTTTGAGAGCTATTATTGATAGGAAGGAATAAAATTGAGAAAGTTTAAATTTAGATAGGTAAAGTTTAATATACTAGATCAACGGAAGTAAAATGACTTTGAATTAACTACTGACAGAGTCTTTCCTCTAGTCATCAGCTCTTTAATCACCGTTCCAATATTTTTTTGTTGAAAGAATCTACATATACATTTTATGTTCATGAATATATATTTTTTTGTCATCGAAATCCTAAAAAAAGGAATCATACCTTCTCTTTGTTTACTCTGGTGATGATGTTTAGATTAATTACTTGTATGTTATGTTCATTCAACAAACACAACAGTGCGTACAAGTCTCGCGTTCTGAAACAATGGAAAATGGATATTATCGTATTTGTTTCTTTGAAATTGAATAGAATTTTAAATTGAACTGTCATGAATAGAAACTGATAGCATTAGGTACAAACTTCGTTCATTTGTTGAAACTGAGAACCACTGAATTAACTTTTATTAATAAACCAAGAAGTTCAGTATTTTATTAATAAACCAAGAAGTTCAGTATAATTTAATTTAAGTATTCCTTGCGCAGACAAGGATTTTCTTTAACGTACAATTGGTACTTTTCTTGAATTTTTTAATCTAAAATAATCATATTTTTTATGTTTTTGATAAAAATAGTTAAGAGACATCATTAGGACCACAACATACTTACCTTACGCAATAATTTGACTACGAATTAAGGCCAATGGTAGCGTGATGAAAAGGTTGCGCGTGGATTATAATTTAAATAGGGTTGATTTCAGTGCTGATTGAAGTATTAACAATATGGAGTTATTGTTTGCCAGCAATAGTGGTGTTAATAAATATTACTCTCTATCATATAACTTAAATATACCACAAAACTATATTACTGGTAGAAGATATTTTAGAGTACTATATTACAAGAATATAAAATACATAATAAAATAAAATAAATAAGAACCCTTTTGTATTTTTTGTCAAAAGTTTAAATTCGTCTCGTACGCAGACGAAATCGATATAATTCTACAATAAAATGATATTTATTTCTCAAAACCACCAGCAAGTTACTAAAATGTGAACGAACGTCACAAGCCTATACTATTTTCACATTTAAATTAAAAAAATAAACAACTTGAAAACAAACGAAATATGAATAAAAACAAAAATTGAATGTTCATCACCTTCAAATGTGGGAGACAATCAATCCCAAGCAAATTTGTCATCTAAATAATCTGTAACCGTGAAGTAAGCAATTTCACACAGTTTTTTTTAATAGCTAAAATACTCTAGTCCAGCTGTTTCTACATCGGTTAATTTACGAATTTTATAAACCGCGTATGCTGCAGTCTGAGTCTATTCGATAATCCATCAATGTGTTGGCCCCACTGCAATTTAGAGTCTAGAGTTATACCCAACAACTTAGTGGTGTCAGTGGAGTACATTCACTTTTTTTCTTATTTAAAAGTAAGTTATTACGGTCAACCAGTTCATGACCTTGGAGAGAGTGTTATTTACATCGTCAGTAACTGTCGTTTTAGTTTAAATAAAAGTGAAATGGCATCCGCAAATAGAACTATCTCCTGATTATCTTTTATCAGATTAGTTAGGTCATTTATATAAACAAGAAACAAAAATTGAAATTGTGCTGTAATTATTACATTCGTTCTGTTACACCCTGTCGATGTAGGCATTAGGGCTGACTAACAGACCCTGGTCTTGCTGAGCCAGCATTGATAAAACTGATATAAACCCTGAGCGCATCGGAGCGTTAGTCTACAATCGAACTCGGTTCGGGTCGGATTCATTATTCTAATTCCTAAATATTTCTATTTCCTTTATTTAATTCAAATAAATAACCTTCAGTGTTTTAAATACTTTTTTTAAAAAGCTAACTGCAAGGTCCCGCATAACATTTTGGTGGCAGCGGTGGGATTTCGAAAATCCCTCACCGAAATACGTCTCTGAAATCAACTCGTAAATTGTGTTAAAAAC